CACCACTACAATTCCAATGTTCGTTTGATGTTCGATTTGACGGTTTGACGTTTTGGCTTTTCATTTTCTTCTGACAAAACCTTGTATTTCGTGATTTCTCTGCAGAAACAAGCAATTTGATTAGTAAAAGGTGCAAAATATTTCCATTACAAAAATGTATACTTACTCAGCAAATTCATGCTCTTGTAAATCGGTGAAAGAGTATCCATTCATGCCGCAAACGTCACCGCAGAAAAATTTGATGCCTTGCAAATGGCAAATGTTGTCTTGCAAACACGAACCAAACTTTTCCCCATGAATCTTTGCAGTGTATTTAAACGAGATGTCAATGTCTATACATGAAGCATTCGATGCAAAATAATTAAATTTATAAATTCAAATCCAACTGTTTTATTTTACTCTTGTTCCTCTTTGTTTTCGGTCACCAATTCCATTTGAAGCTCAATTAGTTCACGTAATTCTTCGGTGTATGTAAGTGGAGCAGTTTTTGTTGTTCGATATTTAACTCGTCGTCGTTTCAAATCTCTTCGCAATTTATTCAAATCCGTGAAATTGTTGGCACTAGAACGTTTTGCATCAATTTTATATGCAATGTCAACAACAGCTTCAAGATCAATTGGTTTACTCGCTTGTTTTGCCACACTCGGTCCACTTTCAATTGCACTCGATTCGGTTGAATCACTCTTATTTTGATTATTTTTTGCTATATATTTTGGTAGTTTTTCCTTTGTCCAACCGAATTCACGAAGTAACTCATTCACATGATTTTCGTACTTTTTCACAGTTTTTCGAATATCATCCAATTCTTTTATTCTCTGTTCAACAGTAGACATCCTTGCTCGCAAATGAATTTTTATAAACAATGTTCACACTCTACACACGGTTTGACAGTTCGAGAGAATCGAGATTTTGTGATGTGACACTAATTTTGCTTGCATTAAAGTGTCAAAATCGTGTATACAGAAATTAGGTGATGATGAAAAATGGATGACGTTGCGTCCGCACATAGCGAAAATTTAAATTTACGCAAAATTCAACAAAAACTTTTGCAATGGGAGAAAAAAGAGTGCTCTCTATCGCAACTAACAGACTATCAAATCGATGCAATCGAACAATTGAATGAGCCACAACAGCAAACAACCAACGATTCAGGTCCGGAACTGGTGAGTTAAGCGACGATTAAATGTCAACAATTGATTGAATTTTATTATTGTATTTTTTTGTGTTTCTTTCATGTAATTTTAGAATTCGGCGGATGATTTAAATTCAAACGAATATGTTTCAACAAACGACAATAAATTCAACATTCCAACACATGTAATCGATTCAACGCAGGATTTTTTCAGCTTGTATCTCAATAATACAGTGGTTCCGATGATGTTTATCGACAATATAAAATCAATTTTACGTTGAAAAACCTCGATGGACTCAAAACTGAATACAATTTTGTGTCGAATAAAACATGGTCACTGAATTCAGGAAGTGAAAAAAAGAATATCCCAAGCTTGTACGTTTAGAATTGATCCCCCGTATTTCTTCGGCATTTAAGGAGCTATATGAGTTTTTCGTACGTAATCCAAATGTGCAGAGATTCTCAACAAATTTAATTTGTGTGTGGGACAACGGTGATATATTTTTAAATTCCAACGTAAAATTTGATGTATTTTAACTCAACGTATTGGTCAAATAGGAAGCGGACATCGAAAACACCTTTGGAATTATTAAATGGACTGCATAAACAAGGCTTCTATAAGCGTCTATACATTTACATCGATAAAGTTGTTGAATAGTTAGGCACTTCATTACTTTCACTCAAAGGTCTCGAATTATTGTGCATTTGGTTGTTTTTTGAGAATTATAATTTGTGGTTACCTCAATTGACCAATCTGAGAGAATTAATCATCATGAATGCAATTTATGCCAAGGATATGGAGATTTTTGTAAATGGCCTGACAAAACTCGAACATCTTTACATTGTTCAGGCTAGCATCGATCACATTATGCCATTCATTCGTCGATCGTCGAAATTGAACAAAATCAAATTCATACCACGAATCAGAGGTGTAGTTTTGAATTTGGAAAGGTTGAATAAGGAACGGGCCAAATTGGCTGGAGCACGAAAAATAATAATTTATGCGCTCGAAGATGTCCTCTTGGCTACAAAATGGATGACCAGAAACGGCGAAACAAATTTGAGCTTGATTGAAATGAGACGCGAGTATTCGATTGAATGGAATCCTCAATATTTTCCTACATAGAATTTTATTTAAGAAATCCAAAAGTCCAGATACATTGATTCCATATAGAATATAAGAACATTCTAGTCTAAGTAAATTTTGTGGATAAAAAGAATTAATTTGAATTGTCTGAATAAAATGTATCATTTTAAATTTGAACATTTGAACTGTCGTCTTTTGAAATTATTTGATTATTGTAAAATAATAGAGATTCATGGGAAAAATCAGTACTAAAATACTAAATATACTCAAAAGTATTTAAACGTATCAAAAACATATTCTGAATTTTGAATGGTAAATTAAGGAAAATGTCTTATCAAAATCAAAAAAAAATTCGGTTTAAAATTTCATAAAAATTAAGCTGTGTTCACACTGCGACAAGGATATTGAAGGAATTTCAAACCGGTTTGACATTTTGAGCAAATCGCTGTGTAGCATATATGTACTGCTGTATTGACAGCTAATGCGTGATTTGTTGGTTTTTGCTCGTGTGCGTGTGCGTGAAAATGCTCGTCTTCCTTACTTGACATTTCTCTTTTATTTGTTTGTAAATCATCATTTATTTGTACCTCAAGACGAAAGGTAAGTAAGATTTTTGTATTTTTTCTCGATTTCTATTCAATTTTTTAAATGAAAAACCATCTAAAACCTCATCAATTGCGCTTCATTTCTAATAAAACCTTATTATTTCTACTCTAGATAACTAAAAGCAATGACGAAATGAATAAATAAGAAACCACATTTATTAGTGTCTAGATAAAAAAACAATCGTCTGTATTCATGAAAAGCAATAAAAATCGACTTCGTCAAGATGGAAATACCAATTCAAGTAGCTGTACGCATTTTTCCAGTCTATCCCAATGAATTGTGTCGAGTGGAAACATTTCCGAAATATATCGATGATAATTTAAAACAATGTGGTGATATTTTGTCAAATGGTTGCCAGCCAGGTATCGATGAGGGTGGGGTTGGTTTGGTGCAAGTAACAAGATCTCGTCTAATTGAAGACAACAATGGCAATGCATTGGATAATGAAAAATCATCTTTTAAAATACGACATGCTCTGCCCTATGGATGCCCACAAGAATTTATTTATCGCAATACCGTACAACCGATGATCCGAAATTTTCTCGAAGGTTATGATGTGTCGATTGTAACATACGGACAAAGCGTCACAGGTAAAACGTATTGCATGTATGGACCTGGTTTTGATGGCGTCTACAATGAAATGGAATATGGCATTGTGCCTCGTGCAATTTGCGACATTTTTTCACAGCTATCAAAACGACCGAGTGGATGCCGTTTTTCAGTGAATATTGCATGGATTGAAGTAAATGGCAATGAAATACACGATATTTTGGGTGGCCGAATTATTCAATGCAATAATCTGAATGACGCATTTCATTTGTTACGAATTGGTTTTGCAAATCGAAATACAGACGGAACGCACAGTATTTTTACCATAACAATCGAACAGCAATGGGTCAGTCCAGATGGTTTACTTCAGCATCGTCTATCGACGGCCAGCTTTTGCGATTTATCGGGAACTCAACGAATTGTAAATGAATTTAACGAGGAAATTAGTGTGCCAAAAGATCCGGGACTGCGGATGTTGGAGAGAATTGTGATTTCATTGTGTGAT